TTTTCTTCTTTCTTTTTTGATCATGTGTCGTCCCTACAGAAGCGGGGCCCGGCCTTGGCGCTACACCGGGCCTTCCCTTGGCCGACCAGCCTGAGGCTGCGGCGCGTATATGGGAAGGCCCGCGGCCGAACACTGAGCGAGGTACTGGTGGTTTAAAGGTCGCACTGGGTGCGTCCTTGATCAACAAAATGCGCTGATTAGGTAAAACCCGTCAGGGCGCTTACCTCGGCAACCTCGCTCTTGGCGAGGCTTCGAGTCAAATACGACCGAATTAGAGAGTATGTGGGGCACACATATTGCATTGCACTGTGAGGTGGCCGTTAGTCATCGGCAACACTAGGCTGGCGAAACGACGCCAAAGCCATAGTGCCCGGTTACTCTCCCTTCTGTAATTTTTATTGTTTATTATATTTTTCCTTTATTTTATGAAGACTAGATTTACTTTGCAACTAGTCGGCCTCTGGCAGGACATGGCGCGAAGAGGATAAAAACTTTACCTTGCGCACAGGTGAGAAGTTTATGTTGGACAACGCGTCGACAGGCGCAGCGTTGGCAGACCTAGTCTGGGGGAAAGTCTGGAAGTTCGACAAAGTATGTCATGAGTCCGACGACCTGGATACTAGGTGACCACAAACCTAGGCGCGGGCCGCGCCTTTGGACGGCCATGAGGTTGGCCGATAGGCCAAGGCGAAGGTCTGGTTTGTGTGGGCAGGACCAATCACGGTCCCACGATTATTCATATGCAGGTTCACGCCTACCTAGCTCAACCTTTGGCCTAGTTCTAATGGTTACGGTACTGGACTTTCAAGCAACAGGTTTGGGGTTCGAAGTCAACAAGCTATGATGGAGCAAAGGAGCGCGACCGACGGAGACTGAGGGGTCGAGGGTCTTAAGGGACTATCCCCCTTGGTTTTGTCGGACGGACCTAAGTCGGGGCTGACAGGCAAGAGCAAGAGGGCGTCGACAGATCTTCGTCCTCTTCAATTCTACTATTTTTATTTTGTTGATTTATTTTTATTTTTATTTTTATTTTTTTTATTTTCCTCTTCATTTTCTCGTTTATTGACTAGGCCGAGAAACTAACTCTGGTACTGATAGAGAAGAAGTACCGCAAAGGAAGGACAAAAAAAACTTTGGGAAGAAAGTTAAAGAGTGTTTAAGTTTGTTGAGCAAGGAGCGGACGAACGAGAGTTGAGTATCCCCACCAGAATGGGGATGAACAATGACTGCATCGACACCTTCCTTAATAGAGGTAGGGTGTTTGCCAGCATAGGTTGTTGTGACCAACATTACAAATGAGGAGCGATTGAACCCCCCCACGGGTGGTCGTCATGCCAGTCGAGGACCTTGAGCATGAGGCTTTTCGGCGCGGGCCCGTTCGGGTTCCTGCGTATTCAGGATCCTGATGATATTCCTTTATCCTGCCCGTCTTGAAGCATGGTCCAAGGATTCCGGATTCAACGTGCATGTGAGCGGTGGGTGATCAACCCACAAGGTGGAAAAAGTCTGAGTAGCAGGACCAGCACCTGCGGGTGCACCATCCGCCAACCACGATTTGTTGTGAGAAGTTAGAGTGTAAACAATTTTGTGAGACCAATGTCATTGAGTTAGCTAAGATGTTACACCCGCAGACTGATGAAAAACAGCCCTATGGGCTCAGCACCTGCGGACATAGCTTAGTTGGTACACCCACGGACTGATGAAAGTAGGTCTGTGGGACCAGCACCTGCATGACCTAGCTCAACTTGTACACCCACGAATTGTAGAAGTACAAACTTGTGTTCGAACTCCACCGGAAGCAGATGAGCGAAATCCTAAAATTCTGAATTACTTAAGGCCAGTCTGTTCGATTGGGGCACATCCAAGCTACCGCTACGATCAGATACATTTAGGGAAGATACTAGTGCTAGTACGCCCTGTGTGATGTGCAGAGCTGCAAACCATCTGGTTCCCTTCGAAGTGTCTAGCAACGATACTAATGTGCAAAACGTTCTTCAGACGTGGGTGTAGGGCCGAAAGTTTGATCGGACCACCTTGTACCTGGTTCCCTACGAGCTGACTTGCAACTCGCTTTCTCGGACGTGAGTATAGGGCCGAAAGTCTAATCGGACCGGTCGGTAGCTAATTCCCTCCGAAGTTTTCCTTATGTGGCCAAAACTGTCGGACTGCATCCGGCTGGGCTGCGCCAAAGTGTTGTCGAAGTGGGTTGCGCAAGAGTGTTGTCGAAGTGGGTTGCGCAAGAGTGTTGTCGAAGTGGGTTGCGCAAGAGTAATGTAGAAGTGGGCTGCGCAAGAGTGTTGTCGAAGAGGGCTGCGCTATACTACTGTCGAAGAGGGTTGCG